AGTTCCGAAAACAATGTCAAACAACTTCTCTTGTGACTAAGTTATTTTTTTTCGATGCTTTGAAATGTCTGTTCTAATTTTAGCCATTACTAATAGATTAGCTATCCTTGTAAATGTTCAGCCATGTATTTTATAGAGTTCATTTGTATTGCAGAAAGGTCTTTACTCCCACTAGGATGATATTCTTGTTTCAGCGATTAAAAAAAATAAATTACTAGTTGCATGATTAAATTTCAAGTGAGCGATGAACAATTTTTGAACTCGTCCACAAAACCATCGTAAAAGATGCCCCCTACGGAAATGGAATGAAACAATTAAGTATAGAGATCAAGCGGCTTAAGATGAACCTTGCGATAGTATGCATGCAGCATATTACTTAATATTACTTGAACAAAGCTCAAAATCTCATAATCGTATGTAATATGTTGACATTCTTTGGTATTGGAAAGTGAATTGAAGCTGTCAAACCTTGGCGGTTATCTATTTCGCTTCACATATGCTGGCCTGAATACTGTAAATTTGCATGCATGTGGACAGTTACATTCATAAATTCCTGTGATGGAATCTAAATAGTAGGCTGCCCACAAATAAACAACAATCAACCGCCAAAACATGCTCAATAATAGACAACAAAGTTCGAAATGAGGTAGTAAGAAAGGAAATTTCAAAGTTCATGTAAAAAGGATACTAAAACAATCTATCTTCAACCCCTAGTCATCTGCCATCTTGTACTGTCTGATATAGTTAAATCCATCGTCTTTGCCACACTATGAGGAAGGAAATCAGGCGGCCGACAGAATTGCATCAATATTTACGAGATTAATAATAAAAGTGTTTTATTCAGAATAAGAAAAGAGGAAGAATCTAAAAAGATATTAGACAAGGAAATAAGACACCGTGTTAGGTAAAGTGAAGAAAGCAGAAGATATGAGGTGGAATAAACATAAAATTGGAGGCATTTTGCAGGCTGCCACGTTAGCCTCACGCCAAACTTAAGTTGATCAGAGGTCGTTTTTTTGCCTGAAATGCCGTCTATAAATAGACGACCGAATTAATCCTATATGGAAATAAAATTATTAAGGAAAACATGTAAAATGATGAATAATTGCATTTTTGCCCCTTTGTCCAGGTTGGGACTCAATTATAATAAAAGTGAGCTAGCATGTTAAGTGACCGCTTTGTGCCATGAAACTAAAATATTGGCGGGTTATAATTAATCAACATTAAATCCTGGTTGCAATGGTTAAGTAAAAAACAAAATACCATATTTATTACCCTAAGACGACAATATTAATTGGGGTTGACCGTTTGTTTTACAGTCCTTCTATAAATTGGAGGTTCGCTTAAAATACCAAAGTCTAAAGCATTGTTGAGCCCTTTACAGATAAATATATAAAGTGAAAAACCAAGATATGATTAGTTCTGATAGAATTGAAACTAAATCAATAGAAATAATAATGGTTTTATTAAGAATTATACGATTTAAGAATACTTTAAAATATATAGTAAAATGAAATCCATGAATTGG